TGGGTAAAATGAGGACCCAGACTGTGGGGGCGATATGCTGACTCTGTAAAACCGCTTAGAGAGGGCTGAAAGCCCTATGAAGCGGTATATAAGTCGAACTGCTATTGCTGCTATTGCTAATTGAACAGAGGCATTTTTAAAAAGGAGATTAGAGCAATGTTTCTCAACCTTAACTCCCAGAAATCTCCACCTGGCATGCCAGAAACACCGATTCATAGGATAGAGAGAGAGAGACTTTTGGAAGGCTAAAACAAAAAATAAAATAAAAAAATGTGCTTTTTAAAATGGTTGTGTATAGGGTTACCTATAGAATTTCCAATACACGGCTTGCATTGTGAGATGCAATAATGGAATTAATAGACTGTGAAGATAGCACTTTCTCTAACATGTAAAAAAAAAAAAAACCCTATGCAAGCTTTTTTAAATTAAAGAGTATTGCGCTTAACGAACTTCCATTTCCAGCCTCAGGTTTATTACCCATGAGAGCTAAGCTTATTTTACAGATAGTTCTGAGGATAAAATTGGATCTATCCTTATATATGTTTTACTGAGTTTCTTGATTCATGAATTGCCCATAATATTCAGGGACGGTCTGTATTACAGAAGCTGAGCACTGAATAAATAGATTCTCTTTAACAATGGAGTCTGATCATACGATTGTCTTTGTGCTTTTTTGCATTTGAAACAAGACCCCAAAGGAGTACTACATTTATATGAATAATAATTAGTGCATGTTATTGCTGCAGCTCCATTCCGTATTACTGTGAATAATTCCAGAAAGAGGGACTGCCGGACAAGTATATTTCTCTTGATACAATCCAGAAAAGTGACATTCCTAAACTGCAGGAGCTTCCTGTCTTTTTTAAGAACTCCCATGCATCAATTTGTAATAATTTGCATGAAAGCTCATGCAGCATTCTGAGATAAGACGGAACTATAAAAATTAATTTTTAATCAGTGTACTTAACCGTTATCATGCCAGTTTTATTGTATCCTGTTTACAATAACTTTGCTTTCTTTTTTTTAATGTATTTTTTATTATTTTTACATTTAAAACAATGCAGTAACGTGAAGTNTAAATAAAGGGAGACTAGTATAGATCTATTTCAAGCTATTTAGCTCTCATCAGCTAGCCACACCCTTACTGGGAATCGAACCTGTGCTCTATATAAAATACTATATATATATAGTATTTTAATTTTACTATCAATAATGAATTCAGTTTCATCTGTATCTACACAGATTATATATCCCATTAACATGAAGGCAATTTGATTTTCATCTAAGTACGCATAGAATTTTAAAATCATATATTTGTTGTAGCTTCAGATTTATATATTTTCATTAAATAAAGGACTTACCAGATTTGTATCTATAATTATTAATACTGGTTATCACTATCAACTTTAAATTCACCATCCCAAGAAATCAAAATTTGTAGAAATGTGTAGATGTCTCTGATACATAAATTGTCCATTTCTTCATGCTTTCCCAATTCCCAATGAGGCCCGAAGCAGATACCTCCAGGAATAACCTGTATTAGTATAGAATTAGTATTAGCAACTTTTATTGTGATTAGAAAAGATGAAACAACACATATTGACATTGTATTTCTGTGTGGTTGACTGTTAAGTGTACAAGTCTGCATAACTGGGAACAACAGTGTATTAATAAAGATGAATCAGGTGACTTGATATACATATATACAGTATCACACGGGTGTCAAACTCACGACATGATGTTGCTCTCACATGACATTTTGCTATGTTTTTCCCATTCACAGAGCTGGGGTGAGTGTGGCCTCCGTGTGATGCATCCGGCCAATAGGCTGCCAGTTTGATATCCCTGATTTATAAGATAAAATGTTAATATTGTTGAAAATTCAGATCCAGCTGTATTGTTGCTTTATGTCATTGTCATCCCTAAAGCCTAAAGAATACATAGCTTGCTTATTGAATGATACAATTAATTAAAATGTGTACTATATGGTGTTGTGACATTAATTGGTTTATATGGAATAGTATAGGATAAGTAACTATATGTCTTAAAGTACTAATTCTATAATCCTAAACCAAGACTGAAAAGTAAATACCATTGTGATAAGACAGATTTTATAATGCTTTTGGACAGAAAACATTACAACATGATTTCCGACAACATTTAAAAGAAACTTGTGATGAAAGCATTAACCAGCAGGTTCCTTATCAGGAGCCATAAATATTTCTTGTTTGTTCAAATTTTTAAAAAGTATTTTTCTCCATATTTCAAGCGTGAAGAAATCTCTTTGAATAAGCATTGAAGAAATGAAACATCAAAGCTGTATTTTCCCCCTACATCAGGGATCTACAAGCAGTGGATGATAGCTGCGTTGACAACTCTAAGCAGATTTTAGCACCATGATAATCGTAGGGTTGTTAGAGATATAGATGAGAAGTCTCTCATCTATTTTCCTGTTTTACAAGATGTTGTGATAAATTGTAGGCTCATGAGATAATATTGCTTCTATGTTCCTCTGGGTTTATTTTTCTTTTTGAATAAGGCTCATTTATTTTAAGCCCAGGAAAGTAACTATGAGGGAACAGATCAGGGGTGGGTTTCAAAAATTGTTCGAACCTACTCTGTGGGCGTGGCCTCCTTTGTGGGAGTGGCNGGGGCTGGACTAGAAGACCTCCAAGGTCCCTTCCAGCTAACTTCTACTTCCTCCTCTTCTTCCTCTTCCAATTCAAATTCTATTCTATTCTGGAAGGAGGCAGTAACAAGCCATGTTAATTAAGAAAACGACCATGCGTTACTGATTTAAATATTTAGATTAGCAATGGATGCCAGTGAGGCCACAGTGGCTCTCGTTTCCCCCTTCGGCCATCCCTCGGTTGGCGTTTGCAGTTTCAAAGCGCTGCACTTTTATACAACGCCCTTTTCCCGTTCACGTGCAAGTTCTATCCCAAGATTTGAACGGAAACAAAGGAGGTGCATGTCCATTTAAAAATTTTAAACCGGACCACAACTGTTTATAGCAACGGAACCTCTTATAACGCTGTTCCTTCCTGCAATTCCTGCTCTAAAAGCTAGGAGAAGAAGGCGGGGGTGCTGGAGACGTGACTTTTTGACGGACATCCCTTCCGACCAATGGAAAGTTTGGAAAGAAGCGCGCTGAGCCAATGAGACCGAGCAATTTGGAAATGGTGTCAGGTGCAAAGGGATCCAGGAAGTGATAGTTGGAGCAGTTAAGAGAGTGCTGCCGCAGGGAGAGACACTAAAGGTAGTTAACTCTTATTTGGATGGGATTGTTTGTTTGGGATCGTCTTCTTTTCTGAAGGAAAATGGGTGTTGTTTCTCCTGTGGGTGTGGACATAAGGGATGACACATTTAGCCATGGCTAGTTTAAACCACCTTTTATTTAAACTACTTGCTGGGTTCTCAAGACGTAGGATCAACAAACTAATTTCATGCATGGATTCAATTTGCACCTCTTGAGAACCCAGAGAGCGGCTTAAATATAACTGGGAACGGGTCTTGCACATTTAAATGGAAATGCAATTTTCAGGACATCCTTGCTGAGGCTAAATCCACCTCGGTTAATCATCTGATCGAGTTGGATTTACCCTATTTTTACTTCTTAAATTACAGTAATGGGATTGCCATGCCCAGAAAATGAAGTATTGGCATCTTTTTAGAAAGTAAAATTGGAATCTTAGAGCTGTGTTTTTCAAATTTGGCAATAATAAGATGTGTGGTCTTCAATTTCCAGAATTCCCCAGCAAAAGCATGCTGGTGGAGGAATTCTTGGAATTCAGGTCCACACATCTTTAAGTTGCCAAGGTTGAATAACACAAATGTAAAGCTATGACCCATCTTTAAAACTAAGGAATACAATTAGGTTATTAGTAATCATAGGCACACTAATATTTTAGAGCACTTAACTAATAATCCTGGTGATGAATTTTTAGTAACCCATGCAAACGTGTGAGACTTGGAGATACTATCTAATCCTAAAAGTGAGGATTTTTAACTGATGAATCCTACCGGAAGTTCACTTACAGAGCCGGGGAACTATAGCCCTTTTATGACTTGTGGACTTCAACTCCCAGAATTTCTGAGCCAGTCATGCTGGTTTAGGAATTCTGGGAGTTGAAGTCCATAGGTCATAAAAGGGCCATAATTCCCCACCTCTGCCTTCAAGTATCATAGATTCTTAAAGAGGCCTGTACTAAAATTCCAGATGTTAGAAGCAGACTCATTGAGTTTATGTAGATCAAATGATGTGAAGGAGGAATAATTTTGGAGAAACCAAAAAGCAAGGAAGATACAAAAAGTATTGGGAAATCCGCTCCCATTTCTGAGCATGTTCAGCAAATGCAGGATGCTGGCTGACTATTGGAGGCTGCTGAAAATTGAGAGGACGATGGCATGGAACAGCCTGGGAGTGGGTGGGCACAGCTGGCTGAGCTTTAGCAGGCATACGATATACACTGTCACGTGTTGTTTCTAGCTCCACTCACTGTTGTTTAATGTCAACAGTGTAAGTACATCCTATGTAAAAGAGTATAGGGAGTCTGTGTTGGGCAAATAAGAGCAAGATATGAGAGAGTGGAAAAAGAAAAGGAGAGGAGATGTTAAAATTATACAATGAAGGACGTGGGTCTGCAGAATCATAGATTGGAAGAGGCTATGAAGTGCTAGAATCCCAATTAAAGCACCCCTATCAAAGCTATATAATCTCTGCTTGAAGCCTTCCAATGAAAGATGTCTCCTAGCCATCTGGGTATTTAGACCCACTGTCAAACTGTTCTTATTGGTATCTTTCTTAAAGTGTAGAACTAGTAGTGTACAGATACTCCAGGTGGGACTGACCAATCAAATTATCAGTAATGATTATTTTGTGTAATTTGGAACCTATTTTTGTGGATGCAGCCTGAAATGACATTTGCCTTTTTTTCTAGTTACATAGTACTTGACTTACGTTGAGTTGCCAAACAATCACTATTCCAAGATTATATAAAGCCTTCTGCTGTGGACATTATGGCAAAAAGTTTCCTTAGATCTCATAAAATGGAGTTTTATTTTTTTCCCTACATCAAATAATGTAGTCCAAACACTTGGGCAGATTGTAGAAATTGAGACAATGATTCTAATTACAATAATAGTGTAGGGAAAAAAATCTGATTCAACTTTTTTTTTAATCCCACATTTCTCTCTGATCAAGAGGGAAGGAAGTAGTATAGAACTGTAGCCTTGTTAGTTTAATTATAGTCTATACTGATTGCCAGGTGACTTCATTCATGGTCTCTGAATTTCAACTGAATTCTTCCCCTCTTTGATTTCCTTCTCATTTGCTTGAGCATTCTTATTGTAGGCATGTGCTTGCTAGTTTTGTATAAACATTTCAGAACTTCCTTAATTTTGTGGACTTGATTGATCAAAATGTGATTTTATTTCTGATCTATAAAAGCTCAACCTCATATTGGAAGACTCAATCTTCTCATCAGCAATAGCAGGAGAAGAAAGTAGAATTAATGCAAATACTTCAGCACAAAACTACAGAGTATTATAGAGTCCACAAGAAAGAGTTGGCTGCTTTGTTCTAGCACAGGGTGTCAAACTCGATTTCATTGAGTTCTTCCTGTACCTTTCTCCTACTCCTGCTCTTCCTCTTCCCCTTTCTACCCTCTCTCCTCCTCTTTCTCTCCTTTCCATCCTCCTCTCCTTACCTCTTTCTTTTCACCCTTCTCTACTTTCTTCCTTCCTCCTCTCCTTTCCCTTCCTTCTTCCTGTACCTTTTTCCTACTCCTGCTCTTCCCCTTCCTACCCTCTCTCCTCCTCTTTCTCTCCTTTCCATCCTCCTCTCCTTACCTCTTTCTTTTCACCCTTCTCTACTTTCTTCCTTCCTCCTCTCCTTCCCCTTCCTTCTTCCCTTACCTCTCCTTTGCTCCTACTCTTCCTCTTCCTACCCTCTCTCCTTCCTTTTCTCTCCCTTCCATCTTCCTTTCCTTTCCCTTCTCCCTCCCTCCCTTCTCTACTTCCCTCCTTCCTTCCTCCTCTCCTTTCCCTTCCTTCTTCCTGTACCTTTCTCCTACTCCTGCTCTTCCTCTTCCCCTTTCTACCCTCTCTCCCCCTCTTTCTCTCCTTTCCATCCTCCTCTCCTTACCTCTTTCTTCTTTCCATCATCCTTTCATTCTCTCCTCCTTTCTCCCTTTCTCCCAACTCCCTTTCTGGGAGTTGAAGTCCACACACTTTCAAGTCTCCAAGGTGGAGAAAGACTGATCTATCTAATTAATATAATTATT